GGGGAGGGGCCTGCAGGCCGCCCCCGCCCGCTCCGCTAGGGCGTCGGGCGCCGGGGGCCGAACTCCGGGTGAGGGCAGGCCGGCGCCTGGAGCGAGGGAGTGGACGCCCAGGGCCCTGAGGACTTGAGATGGCAGTTTCTAGCCAGGCCGGCTGCCCGGAGGCCGGAACTCACCTGTCGAGCCAGACCTGCCCCGGGGCCACTGACTGGCTGCCAAGCTGCGGGACGTCACCCCCAACCCCCGCGTTCTGATGTTAGTTTCTGTAAGAAAAGCACTTTCTCTAGCTCTGGGGTGTAAAGTGTCATTACTGTTATTATTAAGGAAAACAATGTCTTTCTTGCTATTAGTTCGTAGTGATGTATTGGTGTACTGGTTGGCTTCTGAACTGGAACTGGTTACCCTCTTTTAAAAATGTATGAATATTAAGCATTACTTAGAAGTATAGAGTTTGGAACTTGTACAGTGGGATTTCCTAGCGTCACCTATAAACTGTGACTACTTGGGCACGTAAAATTTTGAGCCTTGATTTCAGTCCCTGACAAATTAGTTTCAAAAACTATTTTTTTTTGATTTGTTAAACGTGTACAACACTTTACTATCTGTGTCAAATGCTGCAGTCAAACACTATTATCTTCTAAGAGAAAATACCTAATAAAAAGCTTTGGACCATGCAATGCAAACCGTTGCTAGCGGCATTTTTGTATTATAGCATTAGTTTTGTTTTTCTTTCAATAAAAAAAATTCATACAATATATTTTGATCATATTCTTTCCCCTCCCAAATACTCCCCACCTTCCTAACTTCATGTTCTTTCTCTCTCTTATTTTTATTGAGACAAGTCTTGAATTCACGGAGTTCTGTCAGCCTGCTTCTGCCCCCGGGCTGCTGAGATTAAAAGTGTGCACCACTGTGTGGTGCAGGGCCCAAAATTATATTTTTTTCACCAGTAAGAATATCAAACACTAAAGAGATAAATCCTTTGTTCAGCTGTCAGAATATCTAAGCTGGAACTGGGCTCCACCAATTTACTAGTTAAAGTTGCCTCTCCAGGGCTGGAGTCCCTCGTTCCCTTTCTTCATCCAAGGAGAACCCCTGCAGTGCTTCAGGGCCTTCTTGTCCTCTTAGGAAAACAAAGCTAACAGTTACTGCCTGAGTTCAGAAGATGTTTAAAGATCTACAAAGGAAAGCTGACAATGCTCCTTTTCCTAGGGATTCTTTTTTTTAATACTTTATTGATATTTATTGAGCTCTACATTTTTCTCTGCTCCCCTCCCTGCCTCTCCCTTTCCCCTTCAACCCTCCCCCAAGGTCCCCATGCTCCCAGTTTACTCAGGAGATCTTGTCTTTTTTCTACTTTCTACTTCCCATGTAGATTAGATCTATGTGAGTCTCTCTTAGTGTCCTCATTGTTGTCTAAATTCTCTGAGATTGTGGTTTGTAGGCTGGCTTTCTTTGCTTTATGTTTAAAAACCACCTATGAGTGAGTACATGTGATAGTTGTCTTTCTGTGTCTGGGTTACCTCACTCTAAATAATGTTTTCTAGTTTCATCCATTTTCCTGCAAAATTCAAGATGTCATTTTTTTATGCTGTGTAGTACTCCATTGTGTAAATGTACCACATTTTCCTTATCCATTCTTCGGTCGAGGGGCATTTAGGTTGTTTCCTGGTTATGGCTATGACAAACAAAGCTGCTATGAACATAGTTGAGCACATGTTCTTGTGGCACGATTGAGCATCCTTTGGATATATACCCAAAAGTGGTATTACTGGGTCTTGAGGTAGGTTGTTTCTTAATTTTCTGAGAAATTGACACACTAACATCCAAAGGGGTTGTACCAGCTTGGATTCCCACCAGCAAGGCAGAAGTGTTCCCTTTTCCCCACAACCTCTCCAGCATAAGTTGTCATCAGTGTTTTTGATCTTGACCATTCTTACAGGTATGAAATCTCAGAGTTGTTTTGATTTGCATTTCTCTGATGACTAAGGATGTTGATCATTTCCTTAAGTGTCTTTCAGCCATTTTAGATTCCTCTGTTGAGAGTTCTCTATTTAGATCTGTACTCCATTTTTTTTAAAAGTAAATCTTTATTTATTAGATATACAGTGTTCTGTTTACATGTATAGGCCAGAAGAGGGCACTAGATCTCATTACACACGGTTGTGAGCCACCATGTGGTTGCTGGGAATTGAACTCAGAACCTCTGGAAAAGCAGACAGTGCTCTTAACCTCTGAGCCATCTCTCCAGCCCCATGTACTCCATTTTTTTTAATTGGATTAGGTGACCTTTCAGTGTTCAATTTCTTGAGTTCTTTGTATATTTTGGAGAACAGACCTCTGTCTGATGTGCGGTTAGTGAAGATCTTTTCCCATTCTGTAGGCTGTTGTTTTGTTGACAATGTTCTTTGCTTTACAGAAGCTTTTCAGTTTCAGGAGGTCCCATTTATTAATTGTTTCTCTCAGTGTCTGTGCTGCTGGGGTTATATTTAGGAAGTGGTTCCCTGTGCCAATGCTTTCAAGTGTATTTCCCACTTTCTCTTCTATAAGGTTCAGTGTGGCTGGCTTTATGTTGAGGTCTTTGATCCATTTGGTCTTGAGTTTGTGTATGGTGATAGATATTGGTCTATTTTCATTCTTCTATATGTTAATATCCAGTTATGCCAGCATCACTTGTTAAATATGCTTTCTTTTTTCCATTTGATATTTTTTGCCTCTTTATCGAAGATCAGATGTTCAAAGATGTGTGGATTGGTATCCGGGTCTTCTATATTCAGTTGCATTGATCCTCCTGTCTGTTCTTATGCCAGTACCAGGCTGTTTTCAGTACTGTAGCTCTGTAGTAGAGTTTGGAGTCACGGATTAGATGTCATTAGAAGTTCTTTTATTGTACAGGATTGTTTTGGCTATCCTGGATCTTTTGCTTTTCCATATGAAATTGAGTACCGTTTTTTCAAGATCTTTGAAGAATTTTGCTGGGATTTTGATGGGCAGATCTCTTAATGTCTGCATAATGCTTGACCATGACCTTCTAGGTTTCATTGTCTCCAATGCGAAGTCAGATGTAATTCTGATAGGTTTACCTTTATATGTTACTTGGCCTTTTTCCTTTGCAGCTCTTAATATTCTTTCTTTACTCTGTATGTTTAGTGTTTTGATTATTATGTGGTGAGAGGACTCTTTTTGGCCTAGGTTACCGGCTTTGACCTGTATCTGTAAATCCTGGTCTGGATTCCCTCCTGCAGAAGTCCTTGGGTTGGAGGTGAACCTGGAAAGGTTTCTGGTTCTGATCTACTGCCTGGGAGGGGGCAGGTCCCAGGCTAGGGTGCACCCAAACCTGCAGAGGACCTGCTTACTTCTTCAGGGGGCCCAGACTTGTG